AAGATGAACATTTCTTAATTTTTGAACCATTTCTGAGGCTTTTAGAGATAGCTTTGTATTAAATCCATTACCGTAGTAATACACTGCAAGATTTGGAAATTCACTCAGCAGTGATGTTTTCTGTACTGCTGAGTGGTCTGCAGTGCACTACTCTCCTCTTTTGGGCTTTCTGAGCTTCCTGGCAGAAGTTTAGATAAGTTTTTTTAGATTATGGTTAGTGTTTGTCTCCCCTGCCCCAAGCTGTTATTTCAGACTGCTGTTGCCTCTTGGATTCCGTCTGCAGCAGTTGAAATCCAAAAAAAAAGTAGATCATGTTTCTTTCCGTTTACTCAGCTGATTACTGAATTTTAATTTAAAAAAAAAATCATTCTTAATTTAGAACTATGAAAAGAAATATGTCTTAAAATAAATGCATGTCATGTTAACACAATTATTTTGTCATATACTGTTCTATCAAGCTACTATATCAGTGTCGCAATTTAAAGCATATAGGCATACTGTGTCTTTAATTTTTTCCACAGCATTGTTATACTCTATCTACGCTTTGGAGCACAAGTTCTACAGGACAACTTTGTTGCTGAACTGTCGACTCATTATCAGAATTATATCCTTGTGTTGTGATATTGCTCAGTGAGGAATGTTAATGTATTTTTTTTAAGATGATAATTAAAGATGGTGTGAGACCATCTGTAGGGTCAGACCTTTGCTTTCTAGGTGGGCTTTTGAAGTCCAACTCCTAACTGAAGTTTCATGGTGTCATTTTCTGTTGGTTATTTGTAAGGATTATCAGCTGAAACAGTTTCAGTCTAACTTGCTTACATCACAACTGCAATTGATACTTTTTCAAGGGCATAAAAGGCCTTGATGAGCATGCATTCAAGTCATTTTAACAAGTTATAGTGAAAAACTTTACTATATTTGATTGCTGCCTGAATTGTTTGCTGTATACCTATCATTGGCACAGATACCAAAATACTTGAGAAACTATTCGTTTAGAAATCACTGAAAGTGGGTCTGTGTATTGTTGCAAGTCTATGGGTAAGAGGTCATAGCACGGAATTTAAATGACTTGAGAGAGACCTTTTCTGATGTCTGTTGGCAGGATTACAAACTATATTTCTGGATCCTGACTATGAGATCCTAGTTCATTCTACTTTCTGAAAGTGTGTGACTGCAACTGCTTCTGTTACCGGTAAACTTAGATATGTCTTGGGAGCTAGTACAAACCAATATGTAAAGCCTTTAGAATTTTCCCAAAATGAAGGCAAGAACCTATCTTTAGAGTTCTGTCTCTAGATAGTCCTTTCTCCTTCCTTCTCGACTGCTATGCCAATCAAACACTTTTTTTTTTTTAACCAAAAAACCACAACTTCTTACTAGCTCAGCTTTCTTTCAGCAATGGGGGCAAAAGCTATTTAATTTTACCATGCACTCTACCAACAGTAGAGCTTATCTCAGCAAATAATACTTGTGGTAAAATTAAAGCTTTGTCTTCAGTGTGAGTTTAAATCAGAAGAGTTTGGGCCATGTTAGTTACCCTTCAGTTAGCCATTGGTGTTCTCAGACTTTACTTAACATCTTTCCCTTGAAACAGCTTACATATGGTTTATGTCATCTTTCAAAATTTAATATGTATGGAGCAATATCCTTGACACTTACTACCAGCAGAATTTTTATCATTTTATGGTTTATTGAACTTTTATCTCTACACATTAGCCTTTGTGTATTCCCCTTCGAAGAATGCACTATATGGTAAGTGTAAGCAGTTGTCTGGCAAACTCGCATGACAAGAGCTGGCATGTTAGCAGATAGTGTGTAACATCTTCATATTTTGGTTGTCTCATTGCTCTTTCAGTTTGCTTTGTGTTAACCTAAAGGAGAACCTGTACTGTTTCTGAGCAATTTAGTATTGGATATTTGAAAGAATACATAGCGTGTATACAATTAATCAGCCTTACTAAAATGCTTATGCTCTTCTATAACCAAGCTTATGGTCAATATGATGTTTGTATATAATGCTGTGACTTTTGAAATGACTCACAGGCAACCCTTAACGAGTAACAATACTTCACTCGTACTTTATTCTAACAGTAAGGTTAATGTATTGGTGTACTGACAGACTTGACTCTGAGATAGGTAATACAGACATGGAAAAATAGGAATGAAGATGATAAAGGGAGAATGCAATCCCTGGTGGGATCCCTATGGGGAGAGGGAGATAAAGGAATGAGTCTGTGACACTTATGTTTTTTGTCTTCCTAAGCAAAAGGTGTAAATCTGACTCACGTGCTGTTTATACAGTATTATCCCTCTTTTACAGATAAAGATTCTGTTTAAAAAAAAAAAAAGTATTTATACTGAGTCTGTTTTCTACTTTCTACTAAGCATGCAGTTTAACTGCAGGGAGTGCGCAGGAGGAAGGCACTAAATTGTGAAGCTGGTTATTTCTCCCTAACCTTTCTAAAATTGAAATGGGTGGAACTGTTACAGAAAGATGTTATTTTTCCACTAGGAAGCATAAAACAAATGGCTAGATGAGGATAAATTAAAAAAAAATGTAGCTGAATTGAAAGAAGTATTAGTACATAGAAAATCTGAAGTAAAAAGCTGCCAGTAAAAAGATGCTTGTGGCAAATTACTGGATCATATTTTACTTGTATACAGTTAGGAACTGCAGCTAAACAGCAACAGATTATGCCAGGAGAAAAGGCCTTACAGCAAGGCAGAGGGAATTGTCATAAACTTCCAATGAAAAGTATGTGCTTCCTTTCATCTCACCATAAAGTTACAAGTCCTTCCTTCACCTGTTACAAAGTTGAAAAATAATTGGCTAGTCCCCAACTTACATACAAGTTGTTATAACTTTGATCTGCTATTTTTGTAGCTTAGAAATAACCACAAGGATCATGATGTCTACACTTTTCAAATAAGGATGTCTTCATTATTCTGAAATGCTGTCTGAAAATATAAAGAGATGCATCATCTCCTTCACTCTTAAAAACACCATTGTGTTGTGGCCAAAGAGTGAAGAGTTTAAAGGAGAGACTTCTAGCTTGGATGTTAGTTTGTAGTCACGACCGTCTTGGAAAACGTTGAGTCTTGCTTTGGCTTTGGACTAGAAATGCACCTAGGTCTATAAATGTAATTAATGGGCTAAATTAACCCTCATTTGTATTTTTCAGAATCACAACTGAAAGACAATCCTGCTTTTTCTATGCTGAATGATTCAGATGATGATGTGATTTATGGGTAAGATCACAAAATACCTGTGGAGAATTATTTCTGGCGTGTTGTTTTTGTAATGTTCTCTTCCATATTCATTAAACAACTAATGGCTTTGTAGATTGTCAGTGGAAGTAGTGAAACGAAAGCATAGCCTTACTCTGGAACAGAACTGCAGTGAGAATGCATGCTATTTCAGTTTTTCTTCTTTGGTTTCTAAAAAGGGTTGGCATGGCACTGATACAAACAGGTAGGTAAATATTAGGATACAGGCAAGACATGGAGTGAAGGCAGCAGAGGTGAAAGGGGAGGACTTGCTTTTAAATCAGGAAGGACTGCAGGAGTCAGGTGGGAGTTAGCAAAAGGGCAGATCATGTATAAAACAGCCATTGCTGCAAGAGAAGGATAATGGCTGTTCTTAAATATCTGTCACTTACTGAAACAGGAATAGTCAAATCTAGCAAAACTTCCTGGATTTGTGTATGAGTTTATGTGATATGAGAATTATAGTGGCACTTAAAACTCCATCCAGGTCAGGTCTCTGTGCTAGACACTGAACAAACTCATTTTGATGGTTTCACCTCTTACCCAAGGATACTGAGGTGGCTGGAACAGTGAGGATAGGGATAATACTGAAGTAGCCTGATTAAGTTTGTGCACAGACTAGCTGTATGCATTGTCTGAGATAACTTGCCTTTGTTTAATTTGATGAGTAGTGGTAGTACCAGCTTGCTTCTCTTCTAATGTAGAGAAGCCGCTATTTGTCAGTAGTGGCTTGCAGCTACTGAAATAACCTTCATCAAGGATTGTCCTGTGGAGAGCAGTCACATATGTTGTTTGTATCCCTAACATGGAAGCAAAACAGATGCAGGGTTCTTACCCAAATAATTTGATGCCCCGGCATATTCTTAGTACTTTCCTGTTTGTTCCAGTTTGGTAACTGATCACCACATTCAGAAGTTTTAAAAAAGATCTCTTTCACAGGAGTGACTATGAAGAAATGCCACTTCAGAATGGCCAAGCTATTAGAGCCAAGTATAAAGAAGAATCAGACAGTGATTGATTAAATGTGGACAAACTTGCTCAGCTGGGATCAAAGTAACTTTTTAAGTTTTCCTGGATGGATCATTTTCTTGGCTTTCTTAGAGCCTGCTGTCGTCATCTGAACGCTGTCTCCCAGGAATGACATCCCGCTTCTATTTCTGTTTACAAGATTAAAACTGAAAAAAAGAATGCTTGAAAAAGTGGTAGAAACTTAAAGAAACCAAATTTTTTTTTTTACAAGTCTTATAAAATGTCTGATAGCAGGATGTCTGTGGACTAAAATCTTTTAAGTCTATTTCCATTTAGAAGTCTCAATGATTATATGCTGATTTTAAAATTGCTTCGTTGCTCTGTGTGTGTGTCTATGTTTTGGGGGTTTTTTTGTTTGTTTTTTGTGGGTTTTTTTAGGAGTATGTACAGTATACTATCTTTAATCTCTTGCACTTGTGCTAGCTCCTTTGAATATTGTCCATGGCTGTACTAAGTGCCTCTTTTCATTTATCTTTTCTACATTACTCATTTGACCTGGAAGCAGAGGATGATGGGCTTTAGGGTTTTTATTATTACTATTATTTTTTAGAAATGCAAAAAACCACATGCTTTCCACTTATCCTTTGAAGAGGCAATGTTGATTTAAAACCTTTGGGTTAATTTAAACGTGTTTTTCAGATGTGTTGTGTTGTAAGTGCAAGATATGTGCAAATAGTCAATTTTTATTGAGCCAAAATATAGGCTCAGTAGTGTGAAATAATTTGTGTAGTATAGATTTAACGTTTTACCACCACAACAGAAGCGGGGTGGTTTTTTTCCCCCCCCCAAATAGCCCTTTCAAATGAAGCTGTCTAGGCAGTAGCAAATCTCAGAAGGAAGCACAGTACTGTTCAGTGTTTTTTTCTGTATCGTGGAGAAGATTGTTACACTTAAAAAGTATACAGCATAAAGTTTCATAGAGAAGTACGGTTGCATATTTCTTAACATTTCATTTTTAGAGGCCTTTTCTACATCAGGATTTTCCACGTAGTTGTGAGCGTTAACAGGGCAGTTGGTCTGCGTTTTAGGAACAGTCACGGCTACTCATGTTGAACTTGTGTATGAGTTAGCTTTTGAGCATGTTCTGTGCATAGTTCCGCTATTTTTTCCTTAGGCATACCACAATTACTACCTGTACAGGTAGATATTTTTACTAGTACATCGGTATTCCAGTCTGTGCTGGGACAGTTATATGGGAATTCAGTATTCCTATTACAATGCTGCTGCTCTTCTATTTCAAAAATGTTTTTTTTTTCCCCCTAGTCTCCCACACTACCATTCAATTCTGTATTTAAGTGACTGCTGTTTGTTTCTAACTACTTTGTATACTTTCAGGTACTTGACCTGTCTGAAAGTCTCTTTTCATGGATTTATAATTGCTATATTCTCTTGTAAAATTTCTCTGCCTTGCTGCTGTATAGAAGACTAAATAGCAACGACAGCGACACGAAGAAGCAATGACAAAAGCATTAAACAGTGATACTGGCTTGCACTAGGGAATTGTGCTCATAATTGAACTAGCTTAAGCATACGAGTGTAATGAAGTCCTGTGAGATTTGCTGGATCATACTGGGGGAAAAAAGTGAGATTTGTTCTGCGTTTAAGCTATTCCTGTTCTAGATCACTCCCGTTACTGCAGCTGGAGTTGCATCTAATGTCTTGGTACCTTTTCAAGATCATTTAGGGGACATTTCACAGGATTGCAGCTTGCTTGCAGAAGACTAAAGGAACTGCTTCATGTGGTTGCATCCTTGCTGTTGTAAAAATAGTTCAGATTAAATCAGTGTGCTGTTGAAGGTGAGTGTGGTGAGATACTTATTGTGTGTATATGTGAAAACTTTCTGAAATTATGCAGCGCTATGAAACTTTTCAAGGATGTTTGGAAGTTAAAACTTATGTACCAAGAATCATTTATGTGGTAGAAGCCAAAGAACTATCATATGGATAAAGCACGGAGGTTGCTGGGAAAAAAAGGCTTTCTTCTTTAATTTCTTAATTAATAGGTGTTAGTTTAGAATAACACATATGAAAAAAATTAAAAAGTGTTTCAAGTCAGTGGGGTTGTTCTTTTGGTGAACTGTAATAAGCTGTACCCCTACCATTTCCTTTTAGACTTTTTTTAAAAATAAGTATGGGAGATGATCTTTTTATTCTAAAAGAGAAGAAACCATTCCCCCCCTTTTTATTATTCCCCAGATGACTGTCTGAGTGCTTACAGCTATTGGAATTTGCAATCAGACCTGGGAGCCAACAGGATGGCCTTCATGTACCCCAGATCCCTTTGACTTCCATTGGAGTAACAGTAGGTATGGGAATTAGGTTTTCAGAAATCAAGATCTACATGATCCTGACCTATTCAGATCTCTTTGGCTCTATTCTAAATTGTTTTGAATTGATAAATGTTTGATTTGACAAATGTGCAAAGTGTAGCAATGTTTCTTACCACAGTCTGAGCTGGATGTTACAATTAACCCAAAAATACAGTGTCATGTTTTGGGATTTCATTAACTAAAGAAAACATTTTTTAATTTAACTTTGAGATGATGATTTTTTTTTCTAAGCTGTTCTCAGCCCATTCCATTCGCTATTTTGTCTGCATTAACTTTTCTGCCTCACTACAGTCAAAATGGAAATAGAATTGGTGAAAAAGGGAAATGTATATTTCAAAAAAGTATCTCACTACAAAAATATGAATATCCTTAAAAATTTTTTTAGAGATTATATATAACCAATTTTGGCCATGCAAATGGTTTTGTATTTCGTAAGTGTTAGAGCATGACAGTAAGCTTAGTTGAAGCACCAAGGCATCAAATTCAATATATGGCAAAAAGGTAAAAGCAGTGAAGCAGATCAGGAAACAGTTTTGCTAGCAAAAAATTTCAATTTTACTCTTCTTATTCATGAACAATTGCAAAGCAGCGACAGTAACTGAGGAGTATTACAATATGGATTGTAATCAGCTTGGGGGTAGGTAGCATAATTCACTTCCAAGTAATGTGTGATGCTTTAGTAAGCTAAGGCTGAAACAGAAGGGATCTGGATAAGAGACTCATCTGGCTTTCATTTGGTGAACTCTGAAGTAATTTGGTATTTCCAATCCTATTGGAAGTGTATAAAATGAGAAAAGTATACAAAATGATAGCCCCATAGTATACAGAGTTACTGCTCCAAATGCAATGCCTTTTACTAAGTAAGTGAAGACTTTCATGTTCGTAGTGATCAAGAGGGACTTCTAAGAAATCAGTTATCACTGAGGATGAACCATTCATGGCAACCTTTTTCCTGTAGCATTTGCTTGAAAAATACAGTTGGTGTTGGAATTGGTTGGAAACTTTCCTAGGACTGGCAAAGGAATAGCAAGCATAAGGCTCAGCATTAGTAAGGAACAGCTAGTCCAACAGACCCATGAACTGATCTGGGAAAAAATGGATGTTTCCAGCTAGAAAAGGTTTTGGTCTTTCTCTGAGCCAAGACAACTTTGTATCCATAGTGATATAGTTCTTGCCCACTTCCTTTTGCTTATGCCAGTAATAACCTTTGCATTACTGTAAAACTTTTTATAGAAGTTTGTAAATATGTAAAATGAAGCTAAAAAATGGAAAAGTTGTGTACAAAATGGTATCATAATGTGTAAGATAAATGCTGTTTAATGGGAAGCTGTTAATAAAATGCTGCTTTGAAAAAGTGTGCATGGGGAATATGTCGAATATTTGGTATGTTTAGAAGCTGTGTAATGGCAGTAAATTATCCAAATTATTATGTTGTTGAACTTCATCTTGATATGGAATATGAAGCAAAACTAATATTTTACTTCAAAAAAAAAGTCGTGTACTGAGTTTCTCGGAAGACTTCATGTGCGTAATCATTGTTAAATATGTTCATAATAAAGTTTTATATCTTTATCTTGACTTTATTTTCCTTCTAGTGAATGACTGCAACCCTCTGCCACTTTCATAACGTACATCAGTATTTTAATCTTACGCCTATTTAAACTTGCTAATTGCATAGGGATTCAATTCAGGCTTTGTATCAGTGCAGATTAATCAGGGACTTGCTTTCTTTTATTGCCTGGGCTTGAAGATGGAATGGTAGCTTGCTTATTTGCTTAGCCAGTTTACAAAGGGGAATAGGCATTCTGAAACGGCTTAATCAGTGGTGGCTTTGTAAAGCCTGCTGTGGCCATGCTGGCAGTACCTCTTCCCCTGGTAAATGCTGATGCCATCTGTGTTTCTGCTGAAAGCCTGTGCTTCATGTTAACTGCTGCTGGATGCCTCTACTAGCAGGGTTACAAGTTCTCCTACTTACCATGGGCTGGGAGGTTCACCGTGAAAATGCACCCTCCCAGCATGCCCAGGAAGAAGTGTCCCACCCCTGGCCATTAATAAAAAAGCTTTAGGGATGGTGACAACACTGATAACAATGCATGTCCTTGCTATTGGGCTGTTTTTTTTCCAAGGTGCTGCTGCAGCTGTTAGAAAAGCTGTTTTAAAAAAAAAAAATCTCAGAAAAGATTCTCAAACATTTTCTTCTGGAGGTCAGCACCCAGAAGATAAATAAAACTCAAGTGATTTTCTATTTCTGACATGAACAAAACTAGCAAAGACACAGATCGTTTGAATGGCTTAACCAAGAAGCCAAATATTTCTAGAAGTAAATACTAACTCAAAGTACAGGAAACTATTCCTTTTAACTGTAAGTAGCTGGGTAGGTGCTACATTACCAGCTTTATCTTGTCAAGCTGATGTAGTCGAGCTGAAGTTAAAGTAGTTGCAAAGCTAGCTTAAAAATTTTCTTAAGGAAAGCTTCTCAGATTATAGATTTTTTTTCCTTTATGACATGTTTAGTTCTTGCCCTCTTAAGTGCTTCAGGCACTATTATTTAATCAATCAATCAGTCTTGTTTTAATGTTTTCTTTCTACAGGTATTGTATCATTTCTGACACTAAACAATACATACTCAATAAGTGTTTCTAGCCCAAAAAAAAGTGCTAAAACTTCCTCTGCTGCAAAAGTTCAAGGTACCATTCAGTATAGTCCTGTAGCAGGCAGTAGGACATAGGCTGGAATAAGGAACTGTCTTGTCATGAGGGGGAATATAGAGATGATGGGCTAAAACCGATATGTATGCTAGCAGCAGTATATAAGCTTTAGTGTTGTATTTAAGTCTCAGATGCACCAAACCCAAACCTGCCGATAAAGCTGATAACTTTTTCACCCCTGTATGGGCAACAGGAATGGAGAAGAAGATGGCTGAGGCTTATCTAGCACAAGGTTTCCTATGGCCTAGTCAGGCATTACTGATAGCATCCCTGTGCACTTACTTAATAGCACAAGGAACAAATCCTTTACTACTATGAGATGTTTCACCACTATATCTCTCCAGCTGGTAGAAAAGTACAGTTTCAGCAGTCCTCCAATTCTTAAACAGCTTTAGTTTAGAGCCAGAGACTGAATACATTTCATAGTTCTTCCTACATGTAAGCAAACGTAACTCACTCAGGCCAGTTCTAGCCCAGGAATACTATCCTGAACATGGTTTATAGGGAATTCTTTTCTAATTAGGCAGGTGTTCAGCTTTACTAACAGTGAGCTACTGGTTACAGAAGCAGCATAGCAGTTTGCAGAGGTATTTTGAGATTCCTAGCATGTTCCCATAGCTGCTTTAATTAGGTTTGGATAAGGTTTTGTTTCTTTGTCACCTGACCTATACTTTGTTACTCCTCTGCAACTTTAGAAGGCAGGAGACATACATACATACACATAGTTTATTGTAGCAGTAAGTGATTATTTATGTATAGCTTGCTAAGCATTTCTAGAATGTAAAAGGCTTCCTATCCTCCTTCATTCAAAGATAGGGCAGAGAACGATAACCAAAATAATGAAATGCTGTATAATTAGATTAAATAGGTCCCAGAAATGCAGCCACAAAGTTTCTTTCTGATAAATTTTGTCTCATTTTTTGCAAGTTTGTAGTCACTTTGGCAAAATTATCGAAGTGCTTTGTATTCTGATGTCTCTCAAATAACCTGAAGAGAATTAAATTGGATTGGAACTTTAAAAAAAAAAAAAAATCCAGAAGACAGGAGTCACACCAATGATTATGAATGTCAATAATTTAATGCTAACCAAGAGTACAAAGTGTGAAAGTCAGTGTCTTATTCAAATTCATCTTAAAGAAGAAATCTAGAGAAAGTGTTTACACTGCAGCAGATCTCAGTATTAGCACCTTGAAGAAGAGTCCTTGAAGTGTTAAGACAGCATGGCAACACTGGTATGATACTAAGTACAAACATAATCCATGTAACAGCATGTTTTCACATTTCTACATTTGAAAAAAGGTACTTAAAAATAACATTAAAAACCGAAGTTGTTCAGTGTATTCACAGCTTGAGTAGAGATGGAATACAGTGCTGAAGTAGAAAAGAGTAGAAGGATGAATAATTCCAAGGCAATTATATTGCAAGTCCAAAGGCACTGACAATACAGTACATAGTCTTATTCTCCCATCTCACAGTGCAGTTTCCTACAAACATAAGAATGGTTTTAGAGACAGAAGAAAAGTTTCAGTGATTACTATGAAAATGCACATGTCCTTATATGCATGTTTGTAATTGTTTACATTAAGAGCTTTAAGAATGAAGCTTTTACAAGAGCTATAGCTCTGGAGTAATAGTATGCACTTTGGTATTTCTTCCATTTGGCCATGATGTTAACACTTCTAAATATGAAATGCTTAGCTGCCTAGTCTCAAGGGGACTACATTAAATTGCAGGATTAAGAATTCAACAGTTTTGTCCCTTACCATCACTGGAGTTATCCCAGAAGCAAGAGCTTGCTGTATGTAATCCAGCACCATTCTTTTGCATAATTACACAGGTCACTGTTTGAGTAGAAAAGCTTTTATTAATTGATCGCTAATATCGCTTAACATTTAGCTACATGTATGCTTAGCATAAAACTATATACATATATATATATGTTTACAAGCAGTTTACTGACATAGTTATTAATGTCTTTAATGTTGAGATTTTTTCTCTAAATCTTAATTGAACTTTACTGTACCAGCTTTACCAGAAAACAAAAATTTGAGCTTACCAATATACTTGAAAGGTTTTCCCAGCTTTGTGAGTTGGCTCAGAGTTTGTTCCACCACACTTGTTGTCCACTGGTTTACTTTGCTGTGCTGGTAGGCATTGCCGCCAATTGCAGTTTCTATGGCCTATTGGCAACAAACAAAATAAGCTGCACTGTTGTCAATCAACTAGGGACCCTTTAACCGATTCGGACATGGAGCACTGAAGATCAGATACTATACCCATTGAAAAAAATCCTAAATGCATTTGCCCATACTGATTATCAGAAGTGTTTCCTATATAAAACTTGCATCTCAGTGTTCAAGCCAGGCATACAAAGGTATTACTATATTCCACACTTTCTTTGTTTTTTAATATTTGATTCTCACTTTTTTGTAATTCCTATCCCAATGTCCTGAAGCCAGAGTTACAAAAAGGGCTTTGCGTTTAAGCAGTCCTGAAGAGACTGAAAAACATGCATGAACACTCATGCATACATATTCTTTTATGGAAATGAACTTACTTTAGATTTTCCAGCAGGAAAGAAATCTCAGAGCCATCTTTTTTTGTTGTTTTTTTTTCGGGGGGAGGGGGGGGGGCAGGCAGAGAGAACAACCCAAAACACACCTGTGTAATTGCTGGTTACTACTAGAACAGGCAAATAATATATTTTACTTAGGAGGAAAGTCAAAATTACTTCAGATTCAGAAGAGACAGGAACATTTGTTAAAATGTATATTCGATTTACAGAAAGTCTGACCAAAACAGTTTAAATTCTGCACGTCCACTCTACAAGAGGAAATGCAGATGCCAAAACCAAATCCCTCGAAATATTATAGACCAATAAGGTAGCAACAAGAACAGTTCAATCATTTCAAACTAACAAGAAAACTCATTTTGAGGAAAAGCCTCTCAAAATTAGAGTAACATATACATGCAGACAGCCTACAAAAACCCTATATGTTAATGAAACAAAATCCATGTGTATAGGGTGTAACAGACAAGGTCCACATAGAATTCTAATCGGGATACACTTCAACTGAAGAGAGGCATATGTAATTATTTTAATTATCTTTTAGATTTGCAGTGCATATCAGAACTAATGCTAGGTATCACACTTCCATTTAAAGAACGCACAATGGTTAAATAGAGAATTATCTATACACCGATAATAACCTGTACTAGAAATCTATTACTTACTAGTTACCAGATTTTCGTGAGTGTTTTTTAGCACACAGCATACAACATATTATACTCTCACAACAAGAAAATGAAAAATTGATTACCTCTTTTATGATGTTACTGACTTCATCAACAACAAAGGAAGTCTACAAAAAAGTAAGAGTTTCAAATAATCAGTGAACATATTCTCCTTTTTACAAGGTTCAAGGTTTGTTAAGCAAATACACTTGAAGCTTCATTTATGCTCATTCGATTATTGCAAGTCAGGAGATACCTAGTTTTTCTTTATTTGCTGATATGTACCTCAGCTCCCTGAACCCAAACAAGTTAACAAAATTCTCCAAGTAATGTAAAGTAAAATAGGAACTAACATTTGTTGGAGATCTGAGTCAAGACTTTCAAATTTTAACTTGAAAGTGTATTTTAAAATATATACAGCACTTGTGTATGCATTCTCATTTTACAGTAAGTGCTAACATCCACAGTTCACAGAAAACAGGGCCACAGCACAGACCGCTTAATGACATCTTCAGGCCACTGATGCAGACAAAACATCTATTCGCAAGTCAAAGAAAAGCTGTCATTACAATTTCAGTTAAAGATATGAGAAAGACTGCCTCCTGGAAACTAGATCTAGCTTACTGGATTTTCTACAACTTGCAGCCTTCTTTCAGGCTCTGAGGAGCAGCGATTAAGCATACAGCATTCAGATAGAGAAGGCAGATGTTTTACTACGTGCTCCAATATTTTACTAGTCTGTTAAAAATATTACTTGCATTTTTGTACAGTTAGTATTTTTTTTTCCTGTTTTACCCCCCTCAACTAATAGGCTCTCCCATGTTACTTAAAAACAACCCACCAGCTCTATCTGATGAGTGATAGGAAGCCCAGCAGCCACCTGGCATTAGCAGTATCTTCAACAGTAATCCCAAATAGCAGAGGGAGCAGTAATACTCTGGACATCTCACTACCTTCAGCAAGCCAAACACAGGCTTTCACGCATGCAGACATTTTCGCTATAGATTTGTCATAGCCTCAACTCAAGAAGGAGAAGAAAGGAATCAGACAAAAGACAGGTAGCAGCAATGCAATTAATTTCCTAAGACTGAATAAGAATTTCAAAATTAACCTCATCAAGCAAACATAGGCTGAGTTTTCACTTTGAGGTCTGTCCGCTTCTCTAACCCATACTCACGAATAAAAATATAATTAGGGTGTGCATATAAACAGTACAGTATCTCTTTTTAGAACTTCATTTAAGTTATATTTACACATTCTCAGAGGAATTTCCACACTATATTCATAAAACCAAACTATATTCATAAGGTCAATAGTCTAGTCCAATGTCTTGCAATGTTCAGAATGAAGAATGCAGCTGAGAGTGTTCTTCATGATAAACAAAACGTCAAGGAAGAAGCAGGTGCAATGCCCTTTTTGTTTTTTAAAAACTATTCAGAGTAACTTGCTAGCATGCTCTGACATTGTTAAAAGCTTTTATGTATTGTGGCAAACTTGCTTTTGTTTTCATCTTCTTGACCTTGACTTAATTTTAAGCCTTATTTATCATTTGTTTTCACAGTAATAAATTTTATGGGTGCTTAAGTTTTAAGATGAAATACTATATTTAACCAACTAAAAGCTATCATTACAAAAATATTATTTTCCATATAGCATAAATTAAGAATACGCATACCAGATGTGCTGGCAGACATGCAGAACGCTGCCAGGCAAGAAGATAAACTGTACACAGTTTATCTTCCCAAAGTCTCAAACTTTGCTCAGAATTCCTGTGAGTCAGAACAAACAAGGTTCACAAACTGAACTGAATTAAATTCATCCCAAGCTCTCAAAGGTATTTAGCCACCTCATTTGTACTGAAACAAGTATCTAGGACCTTGTCCATCACATCTGAGAACTTGGTTCTAGGGTGTCTGCTGCTTCTCAACCCACTCCCTTTATTAAGGTGAAACTGTATACAGGTTTAGATACATCACAAAATAGAATGTAAGTTTTGATATCCAGCTGGTGATTTGTGTGCTGTTAGTAGCTTTCCAAATAATACAACAGTATTCCATCCTTTAATAATATAGATATTTTTAGTATTAAAAATAAAGGGAAAATAATTCAGAATCTGTGCAATTCCTCCAAGCTACTCTTTTGACACACAGAAATTGGACTCAACGTTTTCTCTACCTTATTCAAAAGGAGGTATTCTTAGTCAATGAATACGAACTGCAAAGCAGTTCTTTTTTTTTTTTTAGTAATTCTGAAGATATTTCTAAAGATGACTATTAGAACAATGATCAAATTTAATTATCACTTAAAAAAAAAATTGTAACTGCATAACATAGCCTAGGCCCAGCAATCAGAACAAAGCCTTTAGGATAGCATGAATCTGACACACTTTCCTCTCCAACACTGCTTTGCTATTGTCTAACCAAGTCACAATGCAATTATTTAAACACAGTAAATTGTTACAGCTCAGAAAAATTCTCACTCTGCAAAAGCAAAGCCTATGAAAAGGGTAGTCATTTAGCGTGCTAAAGAAAAAAAAAACTTGACTATCTTAGATTGTATCTTCATTAATGGTTTATAATGGTATAATATTTCATTAAAGTGCTTGTAATGCGCAAAGAGATTATCTGCTTGAAACCTTCTTTCTGCACAAAGAGCTTTCCCCAGACTTCCCCTCACTAACCTAAACTAGACTCTTCACAAGAGCACACTGTGCTGGTGGTGAAATCACTCTCCCGAAGCTCCCCGAGCACTTCCTCTCAGTGATTTGCAGAGGCAACAGAGCAGAAGCAACCCAGGGAAGACGTGGGGCAAGCCCAGCCCAGCGGACACCCGCAATCCCGCC